ATGGTTGGAAGTTTTGAATGAGGTGTTAAGTGCAAAGTATGCTACCTTGGGCAGGGGTGAGCTTTTTCTAGCTCAAAACTAATGTCCCTACAAAAAAAATTAAGGCTAATGGAATGCTTCACCCAGATGGTTTGGCTCTTTGATATCTACAAACATTTTGAAAACACTTAAAATATTTTTGAACTTTTCTGTGCAGTTGCATTAGGTGATGACTGTTGGCTTACTTATTTCCTGTTTAGTTTTTGCTTTGCTCTCTCTCCAAACAACTTTTGGTTTGGAAGACTAGTCAGTTCACAAAATTGGACTTGTGGCATAAAAAAGTTCTGTAATAATGGAGACACATGAGTGCCAACAGGTGGCTTCATAATCTAAGGCCTTGTGGTAAGTTCTGTTACCCTGCTGCTTGGCACGAATTCTGAGCTTGATAATGGATATTTTGAGGTGTGCACATTAACCACATCAAGATGAGGCTCTCACCCCGCTAGGATGGGGTTTCACTGGGGCTCTGGCAGAGCCCCAAGGCTGTGCATGATTCCTGCACAAATGTAACCAGCTGGTTGGCCAAAAGCTCATAGAACAGTTAGACGAAGATTTTAGTTCCTGGTGGAGTACAAAAAGGCCAGAAAAATCTGCTTTCTAGAGCTACCCTCGCTTTGCCCTTTACAATAAAAGAAACCTCCCTACTCTAAAGGTCTGATCATCAAGCATTGCCCTCGACACACAAGCAGAAGCTGGTAGAGGTGAGTGCCAGGTCAAAATATGCCCACCCCACTGCTGGGTACATGAGTGCTTTGTTTTCAGTTTTGTGAAATCTAGCAGCATTCTCAAAAGAAAGAACTCTCAAGAGTTCAGCTGTCTGGCAAAAGTAACAGTGACTTACAAACACTTGAAAGTTTGACTCCTCATCACCCTGATAAGAGCTATAACCCAAGACTTTAACCTTGGAAGCTGTTGATGGTATAAAAACCTTTGATTTTCTTTATTTAGTTTAGCAACTCATTTCACATAACTATGCTTATTAATCCAAAGCTCTAACCCGAGATTTTCTCCTCTCACAAGCCCCTATTTTATCCCACAATCGGGAGACAGTGGTGGGCAGGCCAGTAGATTTATTTAAAAATTTCAGCTAATACTGACTGACCACCTACTGTGTGTCAGATACTTCTCAAGGCATTTGGAAGATGACATGAATGAAAGAGATTGGATTTTAATAAAAGACCACAGGAACTGTCACTTTTGATTTTGTAATTCAAATCTGATCGTAGGTACACCACATCACCTGAAATTACTATATACACAGGAATCTTTCTAGCAATTTCACTTGGTTGTACAGCACACAGCTCACCACTGAGCACCCAGAGCATGCTACTTCCCCAGAGCAGAACTATGTTAAATGGACCTTTAATGGGATTATTAAAACTTCCTCCAAAGTGTTTCAACTTGTGCCTCCAAAAAGGCATATCTATCATGCAAGATCTATCGAGTGATCACGTGAAAAAAATCAGGTTGGGCTGTCAAGAAATATGTAAAAAAAAATTTTCTTTTTGAGCTTGATTAATAAAACAGATTTAAACTCCTATATATATCTCAATTTAGTAGGAGAGGGGAGTGCTATTACCCTTTCAAAACAGATTTGCAAAGGCCAGTGTGTTCTGGAGTATCACAAGGAACCGTGCCGTGTGGAAGGACGGACATCCTCGAAAAAGGAAACGGTGTGTACTTCCATTTTCAGCCACAGGTATTTCCCTTCTTTGCTTTTATCAGAATTGCTCCTTATTTTTTTCTTTCAATAAAAAGGCACTGAATTAGTTCCAGCCCATGTTCAAAGCTGTATTATTATTTGCTTCCTTTTGTAGTTAGGACAGTCTACAAATATCCAACTCATTGCTACTTCTGGAAGATTTCACAGAGGTGGTTATCAATAGACCATTTCTCTCACATAAAAGATAAAGCACATTTATTTTTAGTGCATTTATCAGATGGGTAGTTAGGCTTAAGATTAAGCCCTATACACATCTGCTTTTTAAAAATAACTATTCTAAATAAGAAAGTCAAAGAATCGAGTCTCAGTCTGCAATTCTTACATAACAAGTATTCTACCTGTACTTTATTACCTAACGTCTAGATTTCGTCAAGAAGCAACAATCAATAATGGCATAATGCTCTACAGTTAAAAATGTTTCCACACACCACCTTATAATTGAAAAGGCTATAAAACATTGTCCAGTGGATATGATTACATGGATGAGACAGTAGTTTGGCTGAGGTACTGGGTCTAATTATCTCTACTTAACAGATATGTAACCAGAGGCTTGACTACCTCAAGAGAAAACATTTGTGAGGAGGCACAGAGGGGCCTCAAGAGGCCACTATGTAATTTTCTATGAGTTATAAAGGATTCTCGTACAAATACATAGTGAGCCCGTGGCAAAGATTTACTTATGAATGAGGGGACCAGCAGAAGGACAAAGTTGGTTCAGAGAAAGACATGAGGAACTAACACACAAACACACACACACATACACACACACACACACACACTGGAAAAAAGAATGCTGTAGGAAGACTGCAGAGATAAACATCAAACAGGATAATGCCCTACAAGGCAAGAACCCATAACTCTCACAGTTACCTTTCCTACCGCAAAGAAAACCTCTGCAACTTAACAAGCTTTTCGAAGTCACTTAACATCTAACTTTAGAAGGACTGGGTCCAGGTCAATAATAAGCACCAAGTCAAAGTTACCTCCCCTAGAGCATGGGTCAGCAAACTTTTTCTGTATAAGGCGAGACAGCAGATATGTTAGGCATTATGAGCCATTTGGTCTCCGTCACAACTACTCAACTCTGCTGTTGTCAAATGAAAGCAACCATAAGCAATAAGCTTGAGGTGGGCATGACTGCAATTCCAATCAGGCTTATTGACAGAAAACAGGTGGTGGGCTTGATCTGACCCATAGGACATAGTTTGCTAATGCCTCTATCTTAGAACATCAGGTGATCCTTGGGTGCCCAGGTAGACAGTCCTCTAAGTACCACCTCAAAGTGACCTGCAGGAATCTTTTTGCTTTATTTCCAAGTTTTAGATAATTTTTAAAACAGTACCCAGGTCTTCGAACATTAAGTCCCATGCTTTTCCCTCACTATCTTGCTATCTCTCTGAGGCTTACTCAGTCTTTGGAGTTCAGTTAAGAAACAAAAGACTCTACTAAAGAAAGGACATTAAAACAAAATTACTAATCCTTCTCAGTCTTTTGGTTTGCTTGGTTTCACTGCCCTGAGGAATTCTCCTTAGGACCAGTGGGAAGTCTAACGCTGATAAAAAATCACTGAAGCCTGCAGAAATACATGATGGCCGACACTTCCAAGATGGAGGAGCACCCATTTGGAGGCTTGGTCATGACAGTGTCACGTGACTCACGGGGCCAGAGACCATCTGTCACGTTCAGGACCTCAGCACTATGTATTTGAAGAACAAAGACCGGCAGAGGGACCTAACTTCGGCTCATTCAAAAGCTGTTTCATTCAAGGTATGTTTAAAAAAGATGACAAGTTGAACACGGTCCTCTTTAATAGAGTGGAAATTATCTGACATCTTAGGAAAATAGTCCTGTGTGTCCTGATTTCTCTTAAGTTGGAGTTAGGAGGTAGGCTCAATACATGGGCTTATCCTGGGCTCATGCAGTCTCATCTGTAACAGACCACCACAGAGCAAGATGCTAGAAGCATATTTCTTATACAACCAGGTTTTGATTAACTCAGGTTTTATTGTATACTTATTGTGGGTAAATACCATGATAGACACTGCACTTACAAAGTTGAACACAACCCAGTCCTGATTCTTAAGAAGCATAGTCTGTTAGGGAAGAAATGTAGTCAGTGCTCCATGTGATAAGCACTATATAAATGCTATAAAGGGTGGTCCGGGGCAAAGTACTTGGGCAGATAAGGGAGGGATGGAGACTACTGGGTAAATCAGGCTGAGCAGTCACGGTTTTGGTAACAGCTAGCAGACGAAGGGGACCAGAAAGTCACAGAGGCTGTGCTTAATTTTATAACATCAAATCAAGTCTAAAAATTAAGGCAACTAATATATCCAGGTAGTAAGACAACAAGCAGATGGGAGTCATAAGGAAAGAGGAATAAAGGCATTGGTTAGAGAATGTATTACTGCCAGTTTCTGCAGAAGTAACACCTCTCACTACAGACATGTTTTCCGTCCGCTTCTCTCCTCAATGGCCTCTAGTAGATTTAGACTATCTTGTAACTCCTTGTTTCTGTTCTGAAATAGGAACTTTGTGTCTGCAAGTGGTCATGTCTTCCCCTTGCCAGCTGGTTTTCTAATTGTTAAGTTTCTAGAAACTTATAAACAAAAGAAAATCTGATAAAAACAACTTGATATCATGTGATGTGTTGACACATAAAAGGAATCCTGTTGTTGCTTAACCAAGACCATCTTTCTATTCTTAAATATTTCTCTAACGGGAAACAAAGTATGTGTGTAATGTTTGAATACCTTTGAATAGTTTACACTTAGAATAAAGTTTCATATACTATTTTTGGACATATACATACAACACATTATTTCTATTTTTTAATTTATAGGGTGATAAGTTATCCTATAAATAAGAAATCCATCTAATAAATTCTGATCCATAATATGGTTTAACACAAAATTTCAGGGAGTTTAAGGGCAGGAAAAGCATTTAACAGAGTTGTAAAAAAAAAAAAAAAAAAAGAAGAAGAAGAAGAAAAAATGGGAAAATAAATAATGAATCTAAGTTCCCCTTAGAAAACATTTTTTTCAAGCAAAACCTAATTGCTCTAATGCTAAATGACTATGATAGAAACCACATGGATCACCATGTGATACTTAAATATTATAAGGAAAATAAGAAAACTGTCCTTTAAGACAAAAATTAGACAATATTTTCACAATGAAGTTAGGCAAAAGGTTCTCAAAATTCTTAGAATCGGTCACTTGAAAAACTAATTCAGCAGTTTTGAGTTACTTACATAATTATAGGTTGGTTTTATTTGTGAAAAGCAAATACAATATTAAGTATTAGCATGTAACCAACAATTACATAGACTATTATACCAAAGGAAACTGCCTTTCTTGATGGAAAAATGCAGAAAAATGTAAACTAAAATTATACAACATTGAAAAAGAACCCACCATTATTCCCTCTGATTTTAACCGAATGTCAAGAAGAAAACTGTGGGAGTTATAGAATAAAACCAATGAACCATCATAAAAAAGAAGACACAAGAATCTTTCAAAATGCAATATAAGAACGAATCCAGCCCTTCTCAAAAAAGTTTAGAACACTGTTGGTTAAAGAGACAATTTTCATAGGCAATAATGTGCCTGCCAGTAAGCTAACCTGAAAATAATGGTTATTGTAGTGGCTTTAAGGCATGTCTGCAAATTCTCTGACACCCCTCCCTTCAAGTGATGGGCCTGACTTAGTGCCTCATTTCTAATGAAGAGAACAGGCAGAAATGATGCTGTGTGACTTCCATAACTGGGTCACTGAAAGGATACAGCATCTACCTGGCACAGGAGCTCACTCTTACAGCGCAGGCTCTCAGAAACCAGCACCGTGCTGTGAGGAAGTCCAGATACTTTTCAATGAATCAAAATTCTGAAATACTATTTAGAAGGCAATAACTAGTTATCTTTGAAATGAAGCAGTTTACGGAGTGCTTAGTTTGGTCCACTTAATTACTGATATAAGCAAGATATTCATAACTTCTCTAGTTTCAATCTGAACATATATGTTGGGTAAGAAGATGTGGGTTCTAGTACATACCTTCTAATTTGGTCCATGGCCCTAGATAAGCCATCTAGGGGCTCTGTTTTTACCCACACCTAACAGGGAAAATATCTTTTTTTAACCTAACTTACAGGTAATTAAGGATAAAATTTATGTGAAAACATGTTGCTAAAGTTGCTAAACAAACCTAAGGTAAAATATGTAAGGTTTTATAATATTAACTATTTTTCTAATATTTGATTTGCTTTTTATAATTTAACCAAAATATGGATTGCAAACCTTTAGAACTACAAAATGCAGTAGTTATGTAAGGTCAATTAAAGTAGTAAAGCTAATCATCATAATAAACCCCTTCACCCATGTTCTCATTTCATTACATTAAGAAATAATAACTATAAAAATAGGTAGAATTTTGTGAAAATATTCCAATTTATTCTAGCTTAGGAGTTCTTGCCCACATCAATGGATTGCCTGGCATCGGCCACCACGTCAGGTACTCGAACGGTCATATTGTCCATAGACTTTGTCAAACAGATTTGGCAGCCCAACCGAGATCTGTGTAAGAGAGGGAGAGATGTGGTTTAGGGTCAAGTATAGATTATTCACAAGACAGTGCAGCTGGTTGGATATTTTCTTATCCAAAGCAGTTAGAGATTCACTTACCTTTTAAATTCCCATTGCATCAAAAAGACATACCCAACCCTTTCAAAGCTAGAGGGTATAGAGGGTAGAACGTAGATATGAAAAATGAAAAGCAAGGTGTTGCCAAAGCACTTTAATCTTCAGTTTCTGTCATCTACTACAACCACTGGTTTATGCTGAGAGGGCTGGCAAGCAGTGAAATGATCAGAAGGCACAACATTGGAGGAAAGAATAGAAGTTTCAGCAACACCAAGAGAACGACTGATCAATCCCCCGACAGTTAAAACCATATAGACTATAAAAGAAAACTACACTTTTTTTTAATGTTTAGTTATGTTTGAGAGAGAAAGAGAGAGAGAGACAGAGCATGAGCGGGGGAGGGGCAGAGAGAACCGGGGGACACAGAATCCAAAGGAGGCTCAAGGCTCTGAGCTGTCAGCACAGAGACTGATGCGGGGCTCGAACCCACAAACCGTTGAGATCATGACCTGAGCAGAAGTCAGACGCTTGAACGACTGAGCCACATAGGCACCCCAAAGCTATACTTTTTAAAACAAGAAATTTGAGATAATGTGTAGACTTAAGTCATCCATTATGAGATGCGTATTTTTTTGCCACATTTTTGACATCCCTGAAATTGAGATGCATCTTACCATCATAGCCGTGCCAGGAGCTGTGTCACATCACAGCTATGAACTCAGCGACGATGTTTTATAGGTGTCTCTTCAACTGAGTTGTGGGAAAGATGGTAATACTACATGTGTGAATTTAATTACCACTCAAAATGAGTTCAAATGGATTATAAAAGTTAAGAATACAGAAACATACACAGCAGGACATAAATTTGATATTAGTAAAGCAAATATGTGTCATCAGAAGAAGAACGATAATTCCATTTAAAAAAAAATTTTTTTTTAACGTTTATTTATTTTTGAGACAGAGAGAGACAGAGCATGAACCGGTGAGGGTCAGAGAGAGGGAGACACAGAATATGAAACAGGCTCCAGGCTCTGAGCTGTAAGCACAGAGCCCGACGTGGGGCTTGAACTCACGGACCGTGAGATCATGACCTGAGCCGAAGTCGGCCACTTAACCGACTGAGCCACCCAGGCGCCCCCGATAATTCCATTTTTTTTCAGGATTACTACCAATTTTATTTTATTTACATCTTACTTTTTTAACAGTGATGTACAAATCTATGCTTAGACAAATCTATGTCTAGCTCTTTTGAGATGCACAAAATGCTGAGTGATAACTGTGTACCGTATTTTAATCGGCAGTGCTTTTTGCTTTCTTAGAGGCACATAAAAATATTAGTCTTGCAGTCAGATTGTCTACAATTTGGTGGAATGTGGCATGCAGGTCTTTGTTTGGTTAACGCAGCCATCGAGCACTTACTGAGCATCTGAAGGCACAGCACTAAATGTCAGTGAGTAAGCACAGAATAGCAACTCACTTCAATCTGTGTTGGACACTTTTACGTCCTAGGTACCAGGGCCGCAGTACAGAGGCAGCAGTGGGGTTAGAGCCAACCAACCAGTGGTCCAGGATCCAGCACTGAACGTGGCATGTTCACAGGCAACTTTCTTAACCTGCCAGACATTAATTTCCTAGCCTAACCCTAAAGATGAATAATAAATGAGCTCCTCACAGGGCTGCTGTGGAAATGATTTACCAATACCAGTATTGAGGAATGTACTCTCAATCAAATAGAAGAGAGGAGACACATTTGCAGATAATGAACATGGGAGATTGTGACCAATACCACAGAGAGAGAAAGCCAAAAATTCTGAGAAGGAAGCACTTACTTCTGGCCAGGGGAGATGGTGTTTAGAACAGGCTTTAAGGATGGGGAGGAGGTAACGTTTAATAAAAGATAAAGGAGGAAGGCATTTGAGGCAGAGGTAACCAGGATTCAAGGCACATCTGAGGTGATACGGGTTTTTAGCTTGGCTCGGCTGCCATGCAAGGAGGGAGATGGGTTGGAACGGCCACCAGGCCACAGACAGCTCTGAACACCAACAGAAGAGCTTAGGTTTTAACCAGTGAGCAATGAGGGACCACTGGGAAGTTTTTGAGTAAGGGAGTAAATGTAACCACAGGAAATCTTGATTTCTCATAGAAAAAAAAATCCCCTTCTACCAATAATTCCTATTTGTTGACTGCAGACAGCCTTCACGGTACTCAATTATGCATTTAGCTCTGTCTGCAAGAGAGAAAATGTGGCAAGCCATCTTAGACCAATTCCTCAGGGCTGTGGAGAGTCCTATCCAGAGAGACTGCTGGTGATTTCCCGCTGTTCATATAAAGAGAAGATAATGCCAGTCTCGGGAGGCACTTTTAATTTAGTAAGAGAAACAGAGATGGAAACAGCGGTCAGTGAAAAGGGGCAGAATACAAGAAGTGCCGTGGAAGCGCAGGAACAGGAAGTGTGTGTTATGGGAACCCAGAGAGGGTTGGCCCTGGAAGACCGGGCAGTGGGGGCCTGTGGCTGTTTTCTCACTCCCTCCTTCCTCTACCCCCTTGTTCTAAGTCTCCCCAGCCTAGAAAGTGTCTGCTACCTGCAGACCAGGACAGATAGCAAGGCAGCCTTGATTTCACTATCAGTTGCATAAAATTCTGACACTGTGCCAACCCTGAAGGTATTTTCTCCAGTCACCTTTGCCATTTTTACCTGACAGTGCAAATACACTGGGGTATTGTATTTACTTTCCTCCTAAGGTTTGGTTTTCAATTCAGAGAAGCAGCTTGAAACAGTGCAGGATCAAGGGCTTTGGGGCCCAACATAACTGATTCAAATCAAGGCTGTGTTATTCTCTAGCTGCGGGGCCTTGAGAAAATCTCTGATAATTAATTAAACCTTGTTTTCCCCTATGAAATGGTGACGATACTGTCTAACCCTGAAGGTTAGAAATCGCCTCTGTAAAGTACCGAGGCATTATAGTTAAGTATCTGGCATATAAATTGGTATTTTTATCATTACAGTGCTAAAAGCTATTTAATGAATGCTTTCCCCCCAGACCCTGTTCTGAAACGTTCACAAACAACCCTACCAGGTAGGTACTAATATTATCCTCATCTCACAATTACAGAAACTGAGGCCTCTAGGCAAACTATCCCTGGAAATTGGTGGCAGCGAGCAATGACTATCATCAAATACAGATTCACAGATAATTCCTGAATTTCTCCTTCTATCGACCACTAATTCCACAAAGAGCTGGTGAGGCCCTATTGTGAATCAGACACTGGAGATACAGTGAAGAAACAGATACGGCACCAGCTCTCACACGAAAAGAGAGACAAGTAACCCCTACGGTAAGGGCCAGATGAGCCCATGTGTCACCAGTGGGTCAATAATCGTGGGTAAGGACACCCTACAATAAACATTAAAACAGTGGTGTTTTAGCTTAAAAATTTAAGACATTTACAGAGCACTTAACTTTAAAATACATGTATGAACCAAAAGGCTGAACTTCCTTGTTCCTCTGTTTTGGAATCCTTTGTATAGGGTACCCTAGAAACAGTTTCTGTCTATGGTACTAGGTTTGAACAAAATTATTTTCGTTCCAGATGTGTCCAAGTGTTTTATCACTGCTACCTGTGAGAAGCATCCTACTCTTTCCCCACAACAGTCATTGAGTGTACTCTATGTGTCACTCTTCGTGGGGGAGAAAAAAGGTGTTGACAGAGAATATGGCACCTGAAGGTGTGAAGGGGGACAGGACGATGGCAGCCACAGCCCGCTCGCTGTGAAGTCTACAGAGATACTGCTTTCCCGGCTTCTCCCGCCAGGGTGTCCGTCTCACTGCCACCACGGGAGAAATGAACCACAAATGGAATAAGGTGATTCTTCACCTCTAAATAAATACTAACGAGCTAAGCAATTTTGTGAGTATTAAGTAAGATGATCTACGTTAAGGAATTAACACAATTATGGTTATATAATACACAAATCAAGCTATTATTATTACTATTACTTTTAATTTTTTAAACAACTGTTTTTCATTAGGGTCACCAAGTTATGGTTAGACACCAAAGCCAACCTTAATTAAGCCAGCCCTCATTATGTTGTCCTTTGAAACAGTAACTCAACTAGCTACCTCCTCTAACTCCAACCAAAAGACGTGGTAATTTTTTAAATAGATATTTTTTAAAAATATCACTTGATATCATCTGTTACTATAAATCTGACTACCTTTGAGAGGAATTCCACCCGTTAATTAATTAACAAGAATAAGCTCTGAATAAATTACTACCAGGTACACTTAGAAACAGGACTGTTCATTTTAATATAGTTGTTATTATACATTAAGTTTCTTTTAAAATTCTGTTCTTTGAAGTAGGTAAAACTTCCCATGAAAATTTCACCCAATTTTCAAATCTGTCCTTCAAGAACACTGTAAAAAGCATTAAATTGAATCCCAACTCATTAAATTGTGAAAAATATTAATCCCTGGGATAAAAAACAGACTAAAGTAGATTTATCAGAATCTAGAACTTGTATCTCCAATACCTTCAATTGTTTTTTTTTTTATTTTTTTTAATTTAGCAAAATGGAAAGTTTCACAAGGGTGAAAACTGTAGAATAGTGAAAACAAAAAGAAATGTCACATATTTGATATTCAAAGTTCGTGTCTGTCATCTATCTATGCCAGGAGATCACTCTTACATGCATGAGGCTGGTCTTAGGTAGATATGAACTACTAAAACCTTTATCTTCCCAGATGATTAGTACAGTTGAAGTCATCCTAAAATCTTACCTATCCGTTAGCCCGTACGCCAGATCGAGCATGTCATTCTCCTCATCAGTGACAGCATCTAACTTCTCAAATATGTGGTCTTCAAAGATGAGGTGACACGTAGAGCAGGCCAAGGTTCCTTCACATGCACCTATAAAGGCAACAGACATTGAAGACACTCTCCCCTCCATTACACAGAATTCAAATCTAGTTTTAATTAAAGTTAATTACTTCTAAATTTTAGAATCAACATTAGTATACAGACTCTGTTTTTGAATAATAATGAGTATTAGGGACTACCCTCCCCAACCCCTCTACCTCCCAATCCCCCTTATCCCCCTCTCTCCTCCCCCCCAATATAAAATCACTTTCACATATTGTTTCAAAAAGGTTCTGGGTTACATGCCGTGAAGAGAAACACAAAAATACACGATCCTGATATCAAAGAGCTTACAAGTTAATAAACTCAGACATGCATGCATATACCAATATGCATTTTTAAACTTACATGGTAATAATTTTTATGATAGCTATATAAGTTATTTACCTTCATTCTAGAGAGCTGAACACAATTTATGAAGCCTTGTGGTATATAAGAAGATTTAGAAAGCAACCAAACATATGCCTATATCAAATTAAATACTCTTCTCTATCTCTCCCTGTAATTGAGAGAGAATCAAACAAGTCATTTTAAGAGCCATTCGTTTTTAAATAATAAGATAAGAATATTTCTCTTGTTCCATTTCTTTTAATTTTTTTTGTTTTTTTAATGTTTATTTTTGAGAGGAAGAGACAGAGTGCATGTGGGGGAGGGGCAGAGAGAGGGAGACACAGAATCTGAAGCAGGCTCCAGGCTCTGAGCTGTCAGCACAGAGCCCAACGCGGGGCTTGAACCCACGAGATCATGACCTGAGCCAAAGTCTGACGTCCAACCAACTGAGCCACCCAGGCGCCCCTTTTTAAAATAATTTTTAAAGCCTTTACACAACTTTAAAGATTATAGGTCCTAGGAGTAACTTACTTGGATTTAGATTTGGTTTTGGTCAACAAACAGTACATTAAATACAGAACTATTATCAATAACTAGTAACCTTCTTAATTTTCCTTGAATGAATTAATCATTTTAATAAGAGTTATTCCCTTATAATTTAAACATTTGTTAATCACACTTTATTATCTAAAAAAATTTAACAGAGGAATGAGAAACTTCCTTAAGTGTTCATTTTTACTAAATCTAATTCAAAGCAGTAACGGAATTAAGAGAAGAGAGGGCACAAATTATGGAAAGAGCCTAAATGTCCATCAGCTGATGAATGGATAAGTAAGTTGTGGTTTATATATACAATGGAATACTACTTGGCAATGAGAAAGAATGAAATCTGGCCATTTGCAGCAACATGGATGGAACTGGAAGGTATTATGCTAAATGAATTAAGTCAGGCAGAGAAAGACATACCATATGTTTTCCCTGTTATGTGGATCCTGAGAAACTTAACAGAAGACCATGGGGGAGGGGGAGGGGGAAGAGGGAAAAAAAAAAAGTTAGAGAGGGAGGGAGGCAAACCATAAGAGACTTAAAAAGTGAGAATAAACTGAGGGTTGATGGGAGGTGGGAGGGAGGGAAAAGTGGGTGATGGGCACTGAGGATGGCACCTGTTGGGATGAGCACTGGGTGTTGTATGGAAACCAAAGTGACAATAAATTTCATATTAAAAAAAAAAAGAAGAGAGAGCATTCAGTGGAGCATAGGAGTTACAGGTGAGTTCTGGAGCCAGACTGTCAGGCTTCAATCCTACCTGTACTTTGTACTAATGGCATCACCTTGAGCTACTTTAACAGCCCCCATGCCTCAGTTCCCTCAGCAGTAACTATACCAACCTCACTCAGTAGTTGCAAGAATTACATGAGTGTTTACTTAACATGTGTATTGTAACCATGACTGGTAGGTAGTAAGCCCGATACAACTGCATTATTGTTGTTGTTATTATTATTCACATATTAACATTATTATGTATTTTTTTTTATTTTTTTTCAACGTTTTTATTTATTTTTGGGACAGAGAGAGACAGAGCATGAACGGGGGAGGGGCAGAGAGAGAGGGAGACATAGAATCGGAAACAGGCTCCAGGCTCCGAGCCACCAGCCCAGAGCCTGACGCGGGGCTCGAACTCACGGACCGCGAGATCGTGACCTGGCTGAAGTCGGACGCTTAACCGACTGCGCCACCCAGGCGCCCCTATTATGTATTAATAGTATTATTTGGAAGTTACAAAGAATCGTAAAGTAATTCCACTTTCTTTTTAAATACAACAGGAAATAAACCCAAGAAATTAAATCAATAGCCTAGAGGTCATATTGCTAGTTAAGAGAGAGTCAACGGCTTCAGCTGAGTTTCCCAATGTTGAAGATAACTAGTTCCTACCACTCCATAATTTAAGTCACCTTACCTAAATATTAAATATATATACAAATGTATATATATATATAAATATACATACACACACACACACACACACAAGTATATACACACAGCAATCAGTTATTTGAACAATAGCTTCCTATTCTATTTTTCTGTAAATTTGAAACATTTCACACAAAAAAATAAATGGATATATTTTACTTAAAAGGGAGGGGGGCTTCATATATACATCTCAAGTTCAAAAAGTCCTGTGTTAAAAGGAAAATTGCTGTAATGGGACCCTGAAGACTTAAGCACACTGTCTCCTGTGTCCCAGGCAAGTCTCACAAGGGCCTCGGTTTTTTTCTCATCTGTACAATGATTGAGGTAGATGACCTCTAAGGGCCTTGTGCCTCCAATATTTTATGACTCCACAGAGAAGAATTACAATTCTTTTTTTTTTTTCATGTTTTTTAAAGTTATTTTTGAAGGAGAGAGACAGAGCATGAGCGGGGGAGGAGCAGAGAGAGAGGGACACACAGAATCTGTAGCAGGCTCCAGGCTCTGAGCTGTCAGCACAGAGCCCGATGCAGGGCTTGAACCCACAAACTGTGAGATCATGGCCTGGGTCAAAGTCGGACGCTTAACCGACTGAGCCACCCAGGTGCCCCGAGAAGAATTATAATTCTTAATGGGCTTGTTCACTAGTATCCAATAAACATACACTAAATCTTGATCCCTATTTTCATCTCATCAATACCCCATCCAAACTCAAAACTAAAATGGCACATCCCTCCAGAGATACTGTAGGACAAAAATCGGGAAAGCCGGCCTCCTTGGGTCTTTAAAATGTACATCAAACAATCCTTACAAAGTATTTCAAACCACTCTCTTAATTTAAAGAGCTTATACTTGCCTTCAGAGTTTTGCTATTGACAAAACCGAATCCTGAGAACTGTGGGCCGTGTGTGACAGAAGACGCGAGGAAGAGAACCCTCGCTTCCAGGCAGGATGGGGTGTGCGGGGGCTGCGCAAGCAGGGGACCAAGCCTGGAGGGTCTCCCATGCTCTTCTCAGGAGGAGAACTTGTTCCATAGGCCCATTATTTTCTACCTTGTTTCCACACATGCTGGGTGGGTAACACACACACGCAGGCAAACAACCATCTCTCAGGTTGGGCTGCCACAGCGATGGGAGTGGCTGGGGGGGTGGGTACGGACACCCATCACTCCTCCTCTCCTTTCCCAGATCCAGCCCCTGCAGAGGTGGTGGTCCCGAGCCTCTGCTGTAGGCTACAGGAAGCAGGTGAAGGATTGTGAGCAGGACGTGACATGGCATGTTTTACTTTGGACAGATCTCACTGGTGGTTGTGTGGAAAGGATGGATTCGAGATGAATAAGACAGAAGCAAAAACCATGAGATTTCTCCAGAGGGAAGGGTAAAATGATGGAAGGAAGCAGAGACAGCCAAGGACAGACCCCCTCCGAGAAAGAGAGTCAAAATAAGAATGTCCCCAATGGTAGAGAGCGAACCAGAAAAGTGCAATATGCGAAAAGCCCAGGGAAGAGGACAGTGCGTACAATATGGTCTCAATCATCTTGGAATGGAGACAAAAGGTCGTCACATGCCCAATAAATCTCTGGAAAAATTTAGGACAGTCCTTTTTGCACTCCCTGGTCAGATGAAATGAAGAGTTACCATCCACGTTCCAGCTCTCCATGTGCTTTCACCTCCCTTCCCTAGGAAACCTCAATTCTTTCAACCTTCTCTTGAAGGTTGTATTTTCATTCTCTACTCTAATTTCCATTGCCTTCTCAGGAAACCTGCCAACTGTTTCCACATCTTGGTTACGTTGCCAAGCTCAGAGATGAAGAGGATTCTAATAGGGATTTGACAAACGTCGAGTATAATATACAGAAGGTTAACTTTTGGTCCATACAAGTTAAGCTCCTATTATACATTCTAGTCCCGTATTTACTCTGGAAATGGATGTACTGCATTCAGGATCACCCTTTATTTTATGGTCCCTTTCAAACTTTGTCTGCCATAAGATGTCAAAAGGTATGCTTTTCTTATTCTTTGTAATAGGAAGAATTCAAATACAATAGAATGCCTCAGAATAAAATCAATTCAGCCTGTGTAAGATGGCTAACATTATACCAGAAAAACATAATGGTCATATTTTGGTACCAGTGTCACTTTAGAAAAAAATCTGCAACAAAAATTTCTAAGACCTCATGAATCACACTTATTAGAAGAAACAATCTTACAAACCCCCCAAGATAATAAGACAATTTGAGTGGTATTTTTTTTTTGAGATTTAACCTAAAATTTTTCTAAAAATTTTTTTCTAAAAAAAAAAAATCAGGAAGGCTTTTAGAAAATAGTGAAGACAAGTCTCTGAAAAAAGTACTTAGGAGGAAAAAATACATTTTTTCAAAGAGCCTAAAACTGTGAGAAGAACAAAAGGCTATTTCAGAAAAAAAGTTACTCCTTTTTTTTTCATTTTTCATCTAATAAAACATTATTTCATGATGGCTATTTCCTCCTGGTCTTATAGTTCAAGATTGCCGCCCAATTAGCAAGCACCTGACTGGATGTAGTTCTATGTATTTTAACACCTGTATACATTTGTGCGACCACCGCCACAATCAATACAGAACAGTTTCATCACCCCCAAAATTCCCTTGGGCTGTTCCTCTGGAGTCACACCCTCCCCTTCCCTAACCCTCGGCAACCATGGATCTGGTCTCC